GATATTTTGTGCAATTACTTACTCGATAATCTCATCGAAATGCACAGGAATAAAAGTAGATTGTTGTGATTCTTCAGTTTTTTAGGATCGTCTTCTGAACTAGAGTATTCTCATGGCTCATATTCACTTACATCTAGTAAAAAATCAGCTTCATCATTTGGTGAAACTTCCATAATGTCAACAGCCCTTCTTGTTCTCATTCATAAGAAAAAGATTAAGATTAAGAATAAGAAAGACTTTACACAACTGTAAGCAACTTTTCACACAAATTTATACACAACAGCATGTGAAAGCCAAAGTTAATGTGATCAGTCAGTATATGATTCAAAACACACCAAAAACATACAGCATATGTTGAAAATCGCACGTGTCTACGGAAACGGGTGACTACTGTGCATATCCTCCATGTTCACTATGGAACTTTGTCATTGTGGCCATGAAAAACAAATGTTGCCCGACAAAATAAATGACATCTGTACTAAATTATCAATTCTCACCTAAAAATTTCGTTATACCTCAGAAGCTACAATACATCAAATAGTAATATGACTTTAATTACAGCCAACCTAATTCAACAATAATTATTTCATGATTGATTTTGCATAAGAAAAATTGTAAAAAAAGACAATTATTGATTACTTGGATGAAGCAATAAATAAAATAGACATAACTGTTTTATCTGAAATCTGGAACATAGAACGCACAAGTAATTTCAACATACCAAACTATGATATATTTTATAACGACTCTAAATATAATCAAAATGATGGACTTGTAATGTTTATAAAAAAACCGATAGTAGTAAACGTTAGTATTATACAAATTTTTCTGAAACCAACTTAAGAATTATCATAAATGTTAATAATTTTAGTATAGCTTCTATATACCCCCATCCATAAATACACAATTGTATATAAATGAACGATACGAACAATTAAAGAACTTAAATAAAAATAAATTCGAAATATTTTTGGGAGATATTAATCCTAATATACGAAATAAAAATAATATCGACATCAATCAATATTTGAATGTACTAGCTGAGTACGGTCATATTTCCTTTATAAATAAAACCATAAGGACAACTGAAACTTCTTCAACTATAATAAATCATATATTTGTAAATAAAAAAAGACAATAATCTATGTTATAATATTGACATAAAGCCAATGATTTTTGAAGCCAACCTTTCTGACCATTACACTATTTGTTTGGTGACAAAATTTAATATAATTAGACAAAAAACCTCTGTTTCTAATGTATCCTACAATAAAATAAATTATACAAAACTAAATTAACTTTTTGTGGAAGAAAATTGGAAAGAGGTTATAAACTATAATAATATACAAGACAGCTATGATATTTTTGTTAACAAAATAAAATCTTTTATAAATAATTCGTCTACAAGTATCAATGAAAAAAATGAGGTTAATAAAATAAAACCATGGATAACTCTAGGACTTATTAATTCTATACATAAAAGAGATAATATAAAAAAAAAATTACTAAAAAAATTTTCACAAGAACAAAAAACAAAATATACCCATTATAAGAACACTCTAAGTAACTTATTAAGAAAAACAAAAAATGATTATTATAATAAAGAACTAATTGAGGCTAATGGAAATTGAAATTACAAGAAAATCTGGATAATCATAAACAGAGCAACTAACAGTAATAGTAAATCAAATGAAAACTCAAATAATATTCATTTAAATGATGTAAATTAAAAACAAATAAGTGATAAAATAACTAAAACTAATTATATAAATAATCATTTTATAAATATAGGTAATATAAAAATAATGGCAACAATAATAAAAAAAGTACAGACACCGGAAACTATTTGTGAGGACAAAATTATACATAATAATTTATTTCTTCATCCAACTACAGGAAATTTTATTATTATGACCATCTCTAACCTAAAAATAAATCTTCTTCTGGTCCAGATGGTATATCAAGTAAACTAATAAAACATATTCACCGGTATATCACAAAACTTTTGATACACCTATTAAACCTCTCATTCACAACAGACCCTATACCCGATTAGTGGAAAGAGTCTATAGTTACACTAATTTACAATCAGGTGATAAAAAATATGTAAGTAATTATAGGCCTATATCAGTCAAATAATTTTGCAAAAATCTTCGGTGTCTTAAAAATAGAATAAGATTTAAAAACTATCTCACAAACAGAAAGCAAAGAGTCAAATTGAAAATATTTTGAGTGAACCACAAACTGTTACCAGGGGCGTACCACAAGGGACTGTATTGGGTCCAATTGTGTTACTTGTGTATATAAATAATATAGCAAATTTTAAAATTCTCTCCTTAGAATGATTAGATGAAATAAATCCTGCTGTCTTAGTCTCCAATTACATAAATTATATTAATTATAATTCCTTTTCTAGAAATTTGATGTAAGTATTTTAAATAGTAGTAATAATATTAATTCAATCTAAAATTTAAAACGTGGGTGTATGCACATGCGTGTAAGTACGTATCAGTGCATGTATCATTATGCAAATAAAATCTATATGAGTATAGCATAGATTCTGTGCCAAACTTGTGTATATGCACCTAACTATTGGAGAATATGCTCCAAATTTAGTGGCATACTTCACAAAACAAGCCGTTCTGTGTTTAGATATCGTTATCATCACAGGTTGATATTAGGATAAGAATATATAGGGCGTGAAGGAATCGTACTCGCCTCTTCAACGTTTTCTTTACAGCCATAAGCGCTCGGATCCGATCTAGACAGTGCTGCTTGATGGTAAGCATCACTGTCAGATTTAGAGTATGGTGTTGACGTCTTAACCCGGCGGCTATACGCCGGATTCTGGAAGTAAATACTCTACCACTCGTCTTGTATTCCACCACACTCTGGATCCGAGAAGCGTGTTGTCTGGCCGACTGAAGCTTGCCCTTAATTTTTTGTACACGTCGCTTGGCTTTCTCGATCCCGTAATTGGTTGTCCTCTCACGGGGAATGAGTTACTTCGCGGCGTTGTCTGCAACTTCTGGAAGTTCCTCATCGATGACCTTGTCCATTCTAGCTAGGTGTTGTGGCTTTAGGTTAGCCCTGGTGTTAAGGCTAACTCTCGTCGTTAAGTCTACATCGGTAAACTCTAAAGGCTGTTCCCCATCAGCTGGTAATTGCAGTGGCGGGACTGCGGCTGGCAGTTCTTCCAGCTGACTGGGTGCCCTTACATAAACTGTCCTGCGCAAGATGGATACTTGATCTCTTAGATGTTGTTGAGAGAAAATGCGATGCTCTGGGTGCATTTCGCGCCAAAGTGCATACAATCGCTCCATGTATCCCCTTCGCTCAGGTTCGCTACTCTCGCGGCAGGTCAGCAAGTCATTCCGAAGTTCCCTTGTCCACTTAAAGCGTCCGTATTCATAGCCATTGTTGTCGTTGTTGAGACCATCCGGGGTTACAATATTTTTATATGAGAGTTATGTTATTTAAATTATATCTAATATGTATGTGTAGTTGTATATGTTTTAGGTGTTGAACATTTTAAATTATATATTGCTGTCATAGATGGGGTGAAATCCAATGTGTGTCTTCTATGTTATACATTCAGTTTGTGTGTGTGGTTATATATATTTAGTCATCATGAGTGCAATATATAGTGTTTTGGTGTTTCGTGGAAAACTACGTCAGTGTTAAGAACATGTTTATATTTAGTTATCTAAGAATTTTCATTTCTATTATGTGGTATGAATAAAAACGAAGTATTGCTAATACCTCAAGCATTACCATTTTCTGCGCAGTATTTACTACCCCCAGTAATACCTACGTCATTTTATATAGAAAGTTTTTCACAGTGAAATATTCATTATATGAAGTATCTGCTTCTGTTGTCTACACAACAAGACTATACTACGTTAGTATTCAAAATTAATAGCATTCACTTCAACCTATCCGTGGTCACTACTTTTAAGTTGAGACAAATTTAAAGTTGTTAGTAAGGATCAATCTTCGAGATTAATCTATTTTATATAATATATTGTCTTTATTTTTTTAGAGTAATAAAGTACATAAGTTATGTGAAATATTTTCTGATGAAGAAATTTCCCAAGAAAAACTCTAAAATGAAAAAGTAGCATTTGTTATTTTGATTGATTTTGAATTAATGGCTAAAATAATGACACCAACTATAAAAACAGCAAAAGAAAGAGCAGGGGCTCTCCCAAATATAAACATTGCATATACATGTTATGAAATTAATAGCTTTTACAGTGTATATATTTGAGACAGCCGAAAGCCCTTAAAGTTTTGCTTATTTCTCGTTAAATTTTTAATTTAGTCAATTTAAACAGATAGCTTTTTAATTCAATTTAGCTCAGATTAGATTTCATTAATTCCAAGGAACACGGTAGATTATATTCATGGTTATTTAGCATCCGAGTATGCTGCATAATTAATAGTAATTTCCGAATAATAAAAATAAATAATATCATTTTCTTTATATATTTAGGGCGTTATATTAGGTTTATGTTAATTTGTTCAGACATTGTTATTTCTATAACCCTTTACAAAAAGAGAATGGAAGTCACTGAGAGGGGAAGATTTGTGAAATATTGACTCACGTAAATGCAGAAATTAATATTCATATTTCATATTATAGAAAGGAAATGAATTGGAGTTTTATGGAATTGAAAGTACCGTACCTTTCTATGGAGATGGTTTTGTGATTTTTAAACTTTGTAATAATAAACTCTGTATATAACACGAATAATCCTATTCTCAATGAATAAGAAATTAACATTCAAATGATTTTTTTTATCTATACCAAAAATTCTTATATGATGTAATTAATAATTTTTGAATATATTTTGTTTACACCACAGATAATACAACCCCTGTATCCCTGAAGGTACCTAAATATACCTTGTGTGGGAGAGCGCTACACATTTAGAGACAATGAACGCACATCCAATGTTCGAGTATGCTAGGATTAATTTCTGGTTTAGCAAACACCCTAGCTTCTCGACCTGGGATCGAACCCGGGACTACAGGGTGAGAGGCAAGTGTCATTTCCACTCGACCATGAAGCCACATTATCTCCATTAATTATTTCTAAGTTTTGTAAATTTTTGGAAACTTTGCTGTGGTTTTAGGTGCACTATATATCTGTATAATCTTTATGTAACTATATTGTATTACTTTTGGTCATAATTTATTTAAAAAATTTGATGATTCTTCTAGACTAATTAAAAAAAAGAAGTGATTATAGCTTTCCTTTACTTAGGTGATTTTTTGTCGCATCTTTTTATGCTTATGAACTTTTGTTCTTGCTCTACAATCATTGGATGCTGCCAATAATGGGAATATTTTTTAATAGCAAAAGGTAAACTGATCTTATTAAAAAATAAAAGTAAAAAATGTTGACCTTACACGTTTACAATTATTGTAATCAAGAATACTTTAAAAATTATTTAGAGGATTATTAATCAAAATTAAACTTAGAGTAGTCTAAAATGTCAAGACAAATTGCAATAAAACAACAAATTGGGTAAAGTATTATATTTGTACGACTTTGGAAGGCGAAATATAAAAGTAAAAAGTATCTTACCAGGTGTTACCAGGCAACGAAACAATTTTGATTTAATTGAGGCAATTATAAAAGATATTCTGCTATAAAGTAAAATTACTTAAATGAAATCTAAAGGGACACAGATTATAATTGCACCAAAGGATACATATCTTGATGCACATATAATATTGCTAATTACGTGTTTTATTTCATACTTTATAAGACAAAATACCTCATGTGTAACTCAGCATAATGAGAAATAATCAAATTACAATAATAATACAAAGAATCAATTAAAGTATTACAACTACTTAAAAAGAAAGAAGAAAGTTAGGTATAATAGAAGAACCTATTACAGTAAGGTTGGGATTTCGCAAAGTGAGGGAAAATATGAATTTATTTCTGGTTTCTTAACAATAAGAAAACTAAAGACTAAAATAATATAAGTTTTTAACTTAATTTTTGTTATAATTCAATTTTGTCACGACATTCTAACAATGAAGGTTCCTTAAAATGTTTCCTTAATCATTCTTGTACCACTTTTGATTTATATGCCTAGACATCTCTTTAATGGATATCCAGTATAGTAGAATATATTATGACGAAAATACAGTTTTAGGAAATTATTTAGAGAATATACACATCTGTAGGGAACAAGTTATATGTGTTATACAACGAGTTGTAGGTGTCTAATACTCGTATGTATAGATCAATAAAAACCGCTCTCAGATGACAACACTAAATACACAACCAATATATAAATAAATTAACTTTGCGCCAACTTGGTTCGTTTGTCAGATACTCTGTGGTCATTTTGTGAAGCACACCACCCTCATTGCCAGATTGACCCAGAAAAGGCAGGTCACCAGATGTCTATAGGAAGTAACATCCCCCTAAAGTATGCAACAAGTGAAAACTAGAAACCAACGGCGAAAATTGGAACAGATTTCGACAGTATATGTTACCATGAATGACGAGGACATCTAATGGCACGACACCATGAGATACCTAGGGTTGACCATGGATCGAGCCTTGACATGGGAAGCAAACTCCAGACACCGTTAAGAATGCCAAGCTGACACGAGCAACTATTAATCAGATGATGGGGAGAGACAGATAGTTAAATATAAGGGACAAGTTCACGCTTATCAGGACTATAGTTCGGCTGCAGGTGATACGCGTCACCTTAGTATGCGGATACACCGCAAAAACGCATCTCAGGGAGTGCTAAAACGCTCGGGAGTCTTGTGAATACACCACGGTTTATCCGAAACGTCGTCATCTTCAGGGATCTGTATTACACGCTGGTCATGAAGAAGATCCAGGACAGAGCTATGAGGCTCATTATACTCACCGAGGACTACAGGAATCTGTTAGTCAGCCATGCAACTGACTAACCGCAGACGCTTCAAGGCATAAGAGACCAAAGCTGTAGATACTGGACAACGGATAGCTAATCTATTTTGTCTCTTTCAGCAAACATCGACGCAATAGACCACTCTATGAAGATATACAGATGGTTCACACATTCCGACTGCCTACATTTCCCAAACTGGGATGTTGGTCCAAGCGCAAAAATTCGCTGTAGACTGCGCACTATCCTGAGCTGTACAGGGTTATGCCCCTTAACTTTTTTTGTTTTTTTAACTAGGAAAACTAGTGATGACTAAAGCTGTAGGAAATTTTTTTTGCGATTTTAACGCATTATTCAGGAAAACAATTGAACTTCTCGTTTCAGTGATATAAATCATATTTTATTTTTTTAAACAGAACACCCTATATATCTTATCATTTTTTGAAATTTTCGCTTTATTCTGATTACAATAAAATACATATGTCATACGTTTGTACAAGCAGTTTACCCAATCTTGTGCTTTGAAATATTGATTGTTGTATAATGGGCAAAATCTAAATGGCCATGGAAAAACCAAAACAATTATTGTAATATGGTTTGACAGTTATAATTGTGTTTCAAAATTGTTTAGAAAAAATGGTGGATTATTTATACAATATTAATGAAAAAATGACATTGTCTTTCAAGTAATCTTCATACGTATTCACGATCAGTATGCATCGCATTCTTTTCACGGGCAAGAACGCTCAATAATAAATTTTGTCATTAATATTATAACCATTTTTTTCTTAACAATGTTGAAACACAACTACACCTGATTAACCATATTACAACAATTATTTTATTTATTCCATGACAATTTAGATTTTGTTCATTATTCATAATCGTTATTTAAATTCACAATAATGTGCCAATATCGTTTGAACAAATGTATGATATGTATACATCATTGTAATCAGAGAAAGGCGAGGAATCTAAAATATGAAAAATATACAGGACGTTCTATTTTAAAAAACAAAAGTTTGATTTATATCTCAGAAATCGAGAAGTTCAGTTGCTTTCTGAATAGTGCGTTGAAACTGCAAGAAAATTTCTTACTACTTTGGTCCTCATCATTTTTCTCTGGGGTAAAAAACAAAAAAAGTTAAACGGGTAGAATGTTACGTGCATAACGCTGTATAGCTTATCCTTTCCAATACGTATAATGGCAATTGCTGATCTACAAATCAGAAATCAAAAAAACAAAGCCAAATACCCTATACGAGAGAGGTGTGGTATTTGTCGCTATGTGCCCGCGACAAATGATATCCCCCGGAGTATATACATTCCAGTGAAGAAAGAACACCAAGACCTTAGAGCGCTAAAACAAGCGACCCAACCAACAGAGGCCTGATGGCTTGAGAGCCAGGACCAGGGTAAATCTGTCGAAATCGCCTACACTTACCGCATTAGCAGGGGGGATGGGATAGATGGAGAAAACAGGCTCGTCCCTTACAAGGGCAATAGTTCTGCTCAACCCCTATCATCCCTATACCACTGTGGCAAAGGCAAGAATACTGGCGCGCGTTATTTCACTTTAGTATCTGACTCTTTAGATTTTTCTATGCAAAACAATTCATGTATATAATACATATTTGTTTTCTAGTAGATAATCTATTATTTTATTATACCCGTAATATATAACGCACCATATTTAGATCTCAGAAATAAAACTTGTTTGTAACGAATAGAATTATCAAACCTGATTGACGTATTTCAATATTCTTCATATAATAAAGCCAACATCAAGCTAATAATAATCGCAATCAGAATTTAATTATTTTTTGAATGTTTGTTGCACAGTATTAAAATTTTGTATATATAGTAACTCTTATATGATTAACAAAAAAAGTCGGCGTTTTGATTCCGAAATACAGAACAGTACCTAAAATACGATAATATGCACAGTAAGCAGAACGAACATGCACAACGCCTAATTAATTGGTCGAGTCTAATTATATTAGGATAACCGAAAGAGGTTACCAATTTTATATCCAATTTGTATACTTCGACGAATTCCTAAGAATTCTATGTAAAAAATTGTTTTAGAAATATATAACTAATTAATACCTTTGTGTTGTTATAAACTTCTGAAAAAAAATGTTATAGGGAGTGATTTCGATAACGATTTCAATAAGGGAAATAGAAATAACAAACTCGCATTTCAGAAATCCTTTAATTTTTAACAGAATCGATATTGTTGTTTTTTTTTAAAGTTGCTCACCCTAGATTGGGTAAATGGATTCGATTTCGATACCTCAGGTTAAAATAAGTTGAGGACTTCTTGTGTTTTCCTAAGGCCTCCAAAGCCAATCATCATTAATATTTCAATTATCTGTCGTTCAGAAAGTTGCATCATTTTGGAATCGACAGCAACATATGTGAAGAAATGCTGAAAGAGTGAACTAATAGAATAGAATGGAATACCACTCACATGTAATATAACACTGTACCTCTATAGATACCTCGAAATAGATTATGAGGAAGGAGCTACTCATTTAAAGAAAACGGACATACCCAATATCCAAGTATGTTAGGATTAATTTCTCGGCTCCTCTACTGGGGATCGAACCCGGTACTTTGAGGTGATAAGTAAGTGCCGTACTGCTCAACCACGAAGCCACAAGGAATAAATTAGACTTTTATTTATTTTTATTTAAACACAAAATCTGTCAAACCTGACAAAAAACGAACATAAGTTTTGAAATAGTTAGGTTTTTGTCACTTATAGGGAGTTAGATTTTAAACATTAATTTATTATAATTCTTGTGCCGAATTGAAATTAGATAAATGAAATAATTTTTATATTTTTCCTGTCAAACCCATATATAGTTTATACTGCTGAGAAGAGGGCTAAAATCTGCATCAGAAAAATGAAAAATATAGGTTTTGCCATTTTAAAAAAATGAGACCATATTTCAAAAACTGCCAGCGAAAAAAAATGTTTATATACATATGTGCGTAAATACTAGTATTATAAACCGCTATATCCCCTGAAGCATTTTTTCAAAATATGTCTATTAGCTAGCAAAGTTACATTGATTATTCGTTACTTCCGCCCAACTCTGTATAGTGTTTCCTTTGATAGTTGTTCCATTGTTTTGAATACTGAATATTTCACATTCGTT